AAGTGATGATAACCATAATAACAATAAAGAAAATACCAATAAAAAATACAATAAAGAAAATAACAACAAAGAAAATGAAATAACAATAAAAAACAACAAAGAAAATAACAATAACAGCACGAACAACAACAACAATCACAAAAAAAAAACTTTGAACTCACCAACGCATCCGATATAAGGGTCTCCAGTATAGTACTCTTGGCACTGGCACGAGTAGCTGCCCACGCTGTCGATGCAGACGGCGTTGGCACCGCAGGGGTTGCTCTGGCACTCGTCGACGTCTGTGAGTGACCGCAAGAAGGCGTTAGAATAAAAGATGTGGAATTATTTACACTTACGGAAGGGCCGATGGTACAGCGTGAGGACCGGGGATGTAAAAGAAATTGTAATAATTCTGATACTAATTGCAATGATAATAATGATAATCTAAAGTGCTGATAATATCAATAATAATGATAATAACAACGATAAAAAAAATGATATCAGCAATGAACAACAATAAGAATGATAATAACAACGATTATAAAAAAAACAGTGATATCAGCAATGATATTATCATCAATCAAAACAATAAAAAGGAAACAAATACTGAATTCCTCTCGCATTTTCGACAAAGGTCACTTCTCTCTCGCTATCTATTTTCATTCACTATTATCATCACCCTCGCTATCTATTTTCATTCACTATCATTATCACCATTTTTTTTTCATCCTGTAAGAATGCAAAGTGCAGCATATTACACCCTTGAGCATTAAACCACTTGAACACTGAGTCACAGCAGACAAAGCAAATAAACTTGACTACCCCACTAAAGACACTGTAGGTTCGTATCCCACGTGACAAAAACAGCTGTTGACTGGGAGTTAAATTCAGCAAAGCCAAGTTAACAGTCTAAATCTAACCCAATACGTACGCTATGCGATGTTAATACCACCGTGTTTGAATATTGTTATTGTTAAAGTGTAATTGACAAAATAAATATTAGTCCGATAATTCCACTGGTTAATTGGTGTGATTTCGGTGTTAATTCGTCAATAAAGTGCATAAAAATATGGCGACCCAATTTCGGTATCCTGACAAAAAAAGAAATTATAACCTTAACATTAAAAACAACAAACATATAATAATTTACGAAATACAATATCTATACAATGCAACTAGAATACCTAAATATATATACCAATAAATACATATACAAAAAGAATGGTCTTTGAAACGTCAGTTTGTACAGTCAGATACAATATTCTTTACAGAGCTGAGGATACAGTGAATTTACAGAAGACAAACAAAAGTAATAATAAAAGAATGAATAAATAATAATAAAAAATACTTTTGAATACTGGAAGTACATAGCATGCTGTAGATACAAGATACAGTACATTTACATTAAGATATACAACAACTAACACGCACACACACGAACGTCCAAGTACAATACAATAGCGGAGAATAAATACTACGAAACAACACATACAGAACATACAAAGGAAAAAACACTACACGCCATTCACATCCAAAAGAATCTAACACAACGCGTAACAAAGAAAGATCTTAAAACAAACAGAAGTAAGAGCAAAGGTACGCCTCGGAAGTCCTTTTTTCGTCACGCTGCTCACCCGAAGGCAACAGCGACTCGGACGGGTGTCATCGCGTGTCATCTGTCATCCTGCGTGTCCAGCGGGAGAGTCGAGGGTCGGGGGCTGACAGGTCTTGGCAAGAGGCTGGGGAATGAGCCGAGTTCTCGTTCATAGTCATTTCTCATTAAAGGCGGTGTCTCTTCCCCGGTCACGTCAACTAATGCGTCACTTTACATACATACATACATATATATATATATATATATATATATATATATATATATATATATATATATATATTATATATACATATATATATATATATATATATATATATATATATATATATATATATATATATATATATATATTATATATATATATACATATATATATATAATATATATAATATATTATATATATATATATATATATATATATATATATACATATATATATATATATATATATATATATATATATATATATATATATATATATATATATATATATGTACATGGCTATATATACCGTGCCATAAAAATAAAGTCATCGAATGAGTAAAAGTCGTCAAAGGAAATATTTGCTGAACCAATAACTCTCAAGTCCAGTTATTTTTTTTCCTTGTGCTTGTAGAGCGAGTCCAAGCTGTTGGTCAAAGACAGAAAGTCGGGCAAGTTGCATAACGTCTTGTAATTAAGCGCAAGTAAACACGGGTTTCTGGAGTTCAGAAAGAAAAGCGAAAAATACACAGGTCGATAAACGATAGAAAATGCAGAAAAAAATCTAAATACAAGAAGGAGAAAGGCTCGAATCCTCAAGGCGCTCGCAAGGAGAGGCTTCCTTCTCATTCCTCTTTTCACAAACACTTGAAGATGTTAAAGTGGTTCCTCCAGCGCCCCCGGAGGGAGGAGGCGGAGGAGGAGGATGGCGAAGGATCCTGCCCCAGAGAGGAGACGAAGGAGAGGGAAAGCAAGGTCCAAGGCGGGGGTCCTGAGGCGTCGCAAGGGCGTCGTCGAGAGAGGAAGGAGGACGGGACTACTAACTGCTGCAGGCCACGTCGCCGTCGCCCTCGAAGCCGCGCGGGCAGTAGCACTTGTACGAGCCCGGGACGTTCATGCACTTGGCGTTCTCGCCGCAGGTGGAGGCCAGCCCGCACTCGTTCACGTCCGTGCACTTCTCGAGGGGCTTCCCCGAGAAGCCGGCGGGGCAGCGGCACTCGTACGAGCCCGGCGTGTTGATGCACGTGGCCGCCTCGCCGCACGGGAAGCTCCAGTTCGACGCCGCCTGGCTGATGGCGTTCTCCAGCGCCTCCGGCAGCAGGCTCTCGAACAGGTCGTCGACGAGGGTGACGTCGAGGGTGACGCTGGTGGTCGTCTCGGCGCCGTCGTCGTCGCGCTCGGAGCTCGGGTCGACGCACTCGTTCACGTCTTCCAGGGTTAGCGGCGGACAATTAGTTTCCCTGACTCGCTACTCCTCCGGGCTCTCTTTTTAGTAGGTTAGGCCAAAAATGTGCTTCTAGGTGTGGGTTGTGTTGATTAATTCACCGTGAGTCTCCGGTAAGCTAGTAATTAGTGCCTACTATCATTACATTAGCGTCATACCCGCCATTAGTTCCAACAACACTACCCTTTGTTCGAAAAGCTATACTGGCTAACTCTGTTATGGAATTAGTGAGTCATGGTACAAAAAAATTACTCATTACCCCAAAACAAAAGCTATGTTATTACTATCTCTAACAGCAAACTAACACCCTCCCCCCCCCTCTAAATAAACGTCGAAAAAGCCCCTCCCCGTTTTCTTTACCTTGGCAGGCGCCGTACATGTCGTAGGGGTCACCAATGTAACCGGCCGGGCACGCGCAGGTGTAGTTGTTGACGCCGTCCACGCAGATGGCGCTGGCTGCACAGGGGTTACCCGCGCACTCGTTGATGTTCTGCGGGAGAGGCCGTGCAAATTCCATCATTAGTTACGCGACACATAAGAAGAAAAATGCTTCTATTTCTCACATGGCAGGAATTGGAAACCATTTTTTCCCCCTATTTCCCCGTGTCCCAAGCACTCCCACCTTCTCTCTCCTTCTTCTCTCCTCCTCTCTCCTCCTCTCCTCCTCCTCCTCCTCCTCCTCCTCCTCCTCCTCCTCCTCCTCCTCCTCCTCCTCCTTGGCACTCACCTGGCATCCGGCCCTCGAGTAAGCGTCCCCTTCGTATCCGAGCGGGCACTCGCAGTCGTGGCCTCCCTCGCGGTTGCGGCACTTGGCCAGGGGACCGCAGACGTCGGCTCGCTGGCACTCGTCGTAATCGGCACACTAAGGGGGGGGGGGGAGACAGTCCCGATTGAGTTATTTGGGCTTTCCGATATATTTCTTATCATATATATTTTTTTAAGCAGAAATAGAAAAATCTCTACGTCAATCTCATTCCAAAAAACATATTTCCCAAGAAAAAAAAAATCTTCATAAACCAAACCATACACACTCGACACAAAACAAACAAATAAACAGACAAAAAAAAAAACAGACAACAAATCAAATCAACGGATTCGAACGCACCCCATCGTAAGGGTTGCCAACGAAGCCATCCGGACACGCGCAGGTGTAGTTGCCGTGATGATTCGTACAGATGGCGTTACTTCCGCACGCGTTCGGGTCGGCGCATTCGTCGATGTCTGCGGGAGAAAAAAAGAGAAAATTATATTAGTTATTAGATGATTGGGATGGTGATGATAATGATGATGATGATGATGATGATGATGATGATAATGATGAAGATGAAGATGATGCTGATGTGTTGTGTTTGTGTTTGTGTTTGTGGTGTGTGTGTGTGTGTGTGTGTGTGTGTGTGTGTGTGTGTGTGTGTGTGTGTGTGTGTGTGTGTGTGTGTGTGTGTGTGTGTGTGTGTGTGTGTGTGTGTGTGTGTGTGTGTGTGTGTGTGCGTGTGCGTGTGCGTGTGCGTGTGCGTGTGCGTGTGCGTATGTGTGTTTGACCGTAGCAACACTCCAACAGAAATGATTCAACAACCATATCACTCGCTATATAAACCCTCTTCCTATCCTGAAACGAACAACATAATGGCAAGAGCGATGACATAGCGTCCGCAACACCACCTCCTAATTTCTCCCACACTTTAATTTCGAAATGAGATCCTCCGAAAATGGCGAAGGATGCGACGAAGAATCCAGCCGAAGCCGCTGCCACTCCTTCCCGCGTCTCCTCGACAGGCAGGGTGATCGCCGGCCTTCGCGCAAGACAAATCCTCTTAATAATTATCCCCCAAAACTCCTACATAATTGGTCTAATTATCCGACGCGATACATTATCCGGTCGCGTCGTATTAAGCAGAAGTCCTTCAGTTCCTAAGTTTTTACAAGAACAAAATGGCTGCGGGCGAATTTTATGGCGTTCCCACGTCTAATACAACGAGATTTCATGGGGTTATCATCCTTATTGACGGGCGAGATAGAGGTCACATTCGCGTGGCGTGAGCTTCAAGGTAAGTTTCTGGCGCTTAACCTATAGTCGATTTATACGACTGACACCTTTTTTTGGGATGGTATTGTCGTCCTTATGGCATTCTTCCATTAAGGTCATAGTTCTAAAAAACTGCATCTGATCCTTCGAGTCCGGAATTTTGTGTTTGTTTTTGAGCGAGATAAAGCGTGGGAGAAATGCATCGGAAATATTGCCATAAATCTTCAAAACAAAAGGAGGTTTGCCTGAACTTCCAACTATATCCTCGTACAGCAAAGGTAAAATACATGTGCAAAAAGGTAAATAAATCATAACCTTGTTCACTTCATTTTTCATTTACGTTCGCGACCAGTGTTGCCAGATCCCATCCGATGAAAACCTGCGATAACGAAGTTTATTACGAAGGTTTTCTCACGGCCTAGCGATTGGTAACATTTGTCCAAAAAAATGACCCTGGGGTGGCAATATTCAAAGAAAAGAACAAGAAAAAAACAACTTTCACGTGTCAATAAGCATCTAAAATATATTTTTTAAATCTAATTTATCTTTTATTTTCATGTTACTGATGAGCATTTGACCCTCTGACAATGTGACCTAAGGTATCTGGCAACTATGTCGTCGGCCGCTACCCGCTGACTTTCTACATGTGCGCGAGGTCAAAGGTCGCTGCCAGTGTGTCACGGAGACCAGGGGGGGTAGGGGGGTGGGGGTGTAACGTCACGTTCTTGGCCACTCGTTTAGAGAACAAATTAGTTGTTATTGTTATAGGAGTTAGAGAGAGAGAGAGAGAGAGAGAGAGAGAGAGAGAGAGAGAGAGAGAGAGAGAGAGAGAGAGAGAGAGAGAGAGATGAGAGAGGAGAGAGAGAGAGAGAGAGCGTGAGTATGTGTGGGTACTCGTGTGTGAAGTTATAGTGGATCCTCATGACCTTTCGTTATCTAAAGGGATCTTTCAAAGGTGCCATCTCATCGACATCCCAATGAGAGATGAGGAAATGATAAAAGATAACAATAATGATGGCTCAGATGTCATGTCGTAAGAATTATAGTAGATTTATGTTCAATCGAGTCCTATCTTCTTCTTCTTTCCCTCTTTTTTTCCTTTTTCATCATCTTTTTCTTCTTATTCTCCTTCCTCCTCTTCCTCCTTCTCCTTATTCTCCTTCCTCCTCCTCTTCCTCCTTCTCCTTTTCCTTCCTCCTCTTCCTCCTTCCTCCTTCCTCCTCCTCCCCTCCTTCTCCTTATCCTCCTTTCTCTTCCATTCCCTCTCCCTCTTTCCGAAGTTTCTCTCCCTCGCGCTCTCTCCAAGGAATCATCCATTCCGCGCGGGACTTTCTCACCGCGAGCGAGTCAAGGGTCTTGCCGGACTGTAAGCGACCTGTGTCAAGGCCCTTATCTATCTAACATCTATCATATGCTATCTATCTTCCATGAGTTCGCACTGCATATGGTCGCGCCCTTATTATATTCCGAGATTTAATTACCATAATAATCGGTTGATAATTAATGATATATCGTCCTGATAATATAATAGGATAATATTTCAAGTTCGTAGACGCCTCCACACACATACACATAGATACACACACACACACATCACACACTCACACAATTACACACACTCACACACATATACACATCACACAGACAGACAAATACACAGTCACACACACACACAAACACACAATCGCATACACAATTACGCAGACACAGACACACACACAATCACACATAAATAGAAATACGCAATCACATACACACACACACACACACACACACACACACACACACACAATCACACACAGCGAGAATACTCAGCCTCTGTCTCCTTTCCTTGCCTTCCCCCCTTACCTCCCTTCCCCTTTCCCTGCCCTTCCCCTTCTCCTCCTCCTCCTCCTCCTCCCCCTCCTCCTACCCCTACCACTCCCCCCCCCGCACCCTCACCCCCCCCTCCCTGCCCCTCCCTCCTCCTCCTACCCCTACCACTCGCGCTCGCACTTTCTCGCGAAGACGCCACTTTCCAAGACTCTCACTTGACGTTGGAAAATAATGCCGCCACTTTATCACGGTGTCGCAATGATGTGACAGCGTTGGGAAGGAGGAGGAAGGAGGGAGGAGGGGAGGAGGGAGGGGGAAGGAAGGAGGAAGCGAGGGGAGGAGTTGGGGAAACGGAGGAAAGCGAGGGGGGAAGGGAGGGAAGGAGGGGGAAGAGGGGAGGGAGGAAGGAAGTTGGAGAAAGGGAGAAGAAATGAAAAGAGACAAAGAGAGGGGGGATGAAGTAAGAAGAGAGAGAGAAAAGTAAGGAAGGAGAAAAGGCGATGACGGAGGGAGGGAGGGAATGAGTGATAAAAAAAAATGAAGTGGGAAGGTCTGAGAAGGGAGGAAGAGGGAGGGGGAAGGGATGTTAGACGGGGGGGGGGAGGGGTCCATTAATCTACGCCGTTGAAATCTCTGAATAATGATAAGGAAGTAAGATTTTCTCTTTTCGTTCCTTTTTTTTTCTTTTTTTTTCGATCTTTCCAAGTGTCATTTCGAGTTTTATAGCGAGGAAATCATAGAGATAATCACCTTTTACCTCCGCGGAAGTGATGTTTAAACGGTCTTAATTAAGCGCTTCCGTTGAATAATTCTAAAAAAAAAAGAAATGTGATTCTCCTAAAAAAGAAAAAAAAAATCGCTTTAAAAAAAAAGTCGAATATCCGTATCTCGATTGTCGTTCGTTAAAGGAATTTCGTAAATAATTTAAAAAAAAAAAAATATGTTCGTATAGCGATGTCTGGTACACGAAGGAATTCACATCTTGTTTTCCTTGACATCCGTGACCTAGTGTGACCTGGGATAAGCCTGCAGATCCTTGTGAAGTCTCTCTCATTCCTTCTAGGAGTTTCTTGTTCTTCCATTCCTCCTATTTCTCCCTCTTCGACGATCTCCCCTTCTTCCTTTCCCTACTTCTTCTCCGTCTTCAACGTTCTCCCCTTCTTCTTCTTCCTTTCCTCCTCCTTCTCCACCTTCAACGCTCTCCCCTTCTTCTCTCTTTCTTTCTCCCTCCATATCCCTCTCCCTCTTCCTACTCCCTCTCCCTCCCTCTTTCCACTCCCTCTCCCAATCCCAAATCTCCACACTGACCTCAATCATCCCAACCCCCCCTCCCCTCCCCCCCCTCCCTCCAATCACAGACCATCCGGCACCGAATCCCACTTCTCACCGCGATTGTGATGACGTAACAACCAATCAGGATGCGAATCGCCGTCCCCCCCCCCCCCCCTCCGACGTGCTAACTGCCAAGTCACCGAAAGGACTTGTTTCTCTGACGCGTCGTTTCGTCTCGGCAGTTGGCAAGGATGGTGGGAAGGAGGGGGTGAGGGGGGTCGGGGGGTGGGGTTACAGATATGATTTTGTGTTTGTTTGTTTTGTTTGTATCTGTGTGTGTGTTTGTGAGGTGGCAAGAATGGGAAGGAGGGGGGTTACAGATATGATTTTTGTTTGTTTGTATCTGTGTTGTATGCGTGTGTGTGTGTGTGTGTGTGTGTGTGTGTGTGTGTGTGTGTGTGTGTGTGTGTGTGTGTTGTGTGTGTGTGTGTGTGTGTGTGTGTGTGTGTGTGTTGTGAAGAGAAGAAGGTAGGTAGATAGATGGATGGATGAAGAGGGAGAGGGTGAAGGAAGAGGAAAGAGAGAAGGAAAGAAATGAAGAGGAGAGAAGAGAGAGAGAGAGAGAGAGAGAGAGAGAGAGAGAGAGAGAGAGAGAGAGAGAGAGAGAGAGAGAGAGAGAGAGAGAGAGAGAGAGAGAGACAGACAGACAGCAGACAGACAGACAGACAGACAGACAGACAGATAGACAGACATAGACAGAGACACAGAGAGAGATAGACAGACAGATACACCGAAAAACACACATACACAGACATGTGCGTATGCGTGTGCATTAGACAGACAGACAGTTACACGGATACGTATCGTTAAGGGAACAAGGCATAAGAAAGCGACGCCCCTCATTTCACATTCTCTCCTTCTCTCTTCCTCTTCTCTCTTTCCTTTCTCAACACTCTCCGCCCTTTCCACGCATGTGCGACTTCCTCTCGAGTAACGGTCATGCAATTGCCTTATGGCACCTTTTCATAAGGACTATTTTCGCTCACAAAGCACAATATGAACATTAACAACCGTCTTTCAAAAAAAAAAAAAAAAAAAAAAAAAAAAAATGTCATTTGATGTTATTACACTAATGAAATCTCTATATATAATTTTCTTTTTTTTCTTAATTTTTCTACAATTCATTTCTAGTCAAACAAAAGAGAGAGAAAGAAAAAAAATGCACCCGCACGCACCTATAATGAATTAACAAACAATAATAACGACGATGGTAACAAATAATAATAATAATCATAACAATAGTAATAACAATAACAATATAATAATAATAATAATAATAATAATAATCATAAATAGTAATAACAACAACAATAATAACAATATCAATAATAAAAATGAAAATACTACTACTACTAATAATAACAATAATAATAATTATATAGATTTCAAAATATAAATGATAAAAATTCAACATAATAATAAAAATACAATATCAAATATAATAAAAATTCAACAAGCCTCAAAGGAAAGCAATTCCGAACGAAAGCCGCGTCCCCAATCCCGCCCGACAGACGCAACCCGAGATAACCCTCAGCATCCTGCCGCATCCTTCTCCCTTCGCCGAGATGAATCCTACACGTGGAAGACGAGGATTATCTAATCCCGCAACCTCGAGGCCGAATCTGGGACGCGCAATCAATCCCCTGATCGGTACGAATCAATAATGCGAATCACCAATCTTCTTTGCAATGTATTTTCATCGTGTCGGGTTTGGGGAAGGACGAATATATAAATACAATTAAATGAATAAATAATCTACGTATCTGTCTTTCGGTTTATCTTTCTGTGATGTATTATTTTTCATTCATTTATATTGTCTTTCTTGTGTATTTTTTCTGGGGGGGTTGGGGGGGTGCGGAGAGTGGGGAAGGGGGGGGGTAGTGAGTTGGGAAGGACGATATAAATACAATTAATTAAATAAATAATCTACGTATCTGTCTTTCGTTTATCTTTCCGTGATGTATTACTTTTCATTCATTCATTTATATATTGTCTTTCTTGTATAATTTTCTCTGTGGGGGTCGGGTGGGGGGGGTGCGGAGAGTAGGGGGGGGGGTAGTGAGTGGGAAGGACGAATATATAATACATTAAATAAATGAATACGTTTGTCGTATTTCGGTTTATCTTTCTGTGATGTATTATTTTTCGTCATATATTATTTCTGTGGGGGTCGGTGGGGGGTGCGGAGAGTGGGTAGGGGGGGGGCTAGTGAGTCGAGAATACGTATTTGTCGTATTCGGTTTATCTTTCTGATTGTCTTTCTTGTATGACTAGTCGAATATATAAATACATCAAATAAATGAATACGTATTGTCTATTTCGGTTTATCTTTCCGTGATGTATTATTTTTCATTCATTCATTCATATTGTTGTCTTTCTTGTATACTTTTTCTGTGGGGGTCGGGTGTTGTGTGTGGGGGGGGGGGTTGCGCGATAAGAGAATTGTCATTGATTTCCCAATCGGAACCAGTCATAAGTGGACGTCGGTGCCGTCTTGTGTGCGTCGCTCTGTCGGATGGTCTTTTCCTCTTCCACTTTTCTCTTTCTCTGTGTCTCTCTGCTTGTTTGTCGGTCTCTCTCTCTTTTCTTTCTGTATATATAACAATCTTTACCTTCCCTATTCCTCTGTTTATCTTCTTCGTCTACTCCGTCTACCCTTCTCTTTTTCCCTTTCCCCTTCCCTTCCTCCCCCCATTCCTTCCCTCTCCATGTCAAACAACCACATTTAACCACAACTTAAACTAACGCAAATGCAGTCAAACAAATCGCTGAATAGACACTTCAGACTTCAGACTCCAGAATTTAGACCTCAAACTTCGTCCTTCAAATCCCCAGACTTCATCCTTCAGAACGTCAGACTTCACCCTTCAACCCCCCAAACTTTAGCCTTCAGAATGTCAAACTTTGTCCTTCAACCCCCCCCAAACTTCATCCTTCCAACCCCCAAACTTCAGACTTCAGCCTCCAGCACGTCAGACTTCTTTCCTGCCGAAGGTCGTGCTTCTTCCCCGTCTGCCCGCTGGCTGCCTCGCCCTTGCATGAATGGGCGCCGGAAGGGTCATTCACACAATACACGATCGTCATGCATGGCAGTTTCTTGCCTCAAACAAGCGGTATGAATGAGTGGGAATTTTTTTTTTCCATTACTTTCTTCTTATTCCTTTCGTTTATTTGCTCTCTTCCTATTTATTCATATCTGATTATACAACACGATAAAACGGGAAAGGCAAAACAATATGATAATTTAATCTAAGACGGCTGATGTGATTAACGGAATTCTTTATTCTTATAATTTTATTCCTATTGTTGTTTTTCTTTCTTAAGAATATCTTTTCGCCTTATCTTCATCTCTGTATCTAGTCGTTTCTTCTTTTTGATATCATTGTCGTTACATTATCTTTATCATTACTATTATTAACTGTTATCATTATCATCATTGCTTGTAGTAGCAGTCTTTAACATTTTTATTATCTTTTCCTTCTTCTTTCCCTCCTATTCTTTCGAAACCCTTTCTATCATCCATTTCCCTTCCCAATCATCTTATTAAATCTCCTCAGTTTCCTTACCTCCCAAATTCAACCATAAGAACTGAGAAATAAAAGAAAAATGAAAATGGACGAGAATTCAAAACACGCGCCATTTTCACATTCCCTCCATTTTTCAAAAGAAACGGTTATTTTCCGCCGCGATGGATGATATTCTACGCCCGAAGTAGTAAGGGCGTGTGTGTGTGGGCGTGGGCGGTATGGAATTAGAGTACAAAACGTTCTCGGCGGATCTCTGCAGGTTATGTTGTTTTTGAGGCGGAGGTTTCATGAGTGTATATACCTATTTATTATTATTATTATTATTATTATTATTATTATTATTATTATTATTATCATTATCATTATGGCTTCTTTTTGGGGGTGCCTTTTTCTTTTAATCTCTATCTGTCTGTTTTCTCTCTCTTTCTTTCTTTCTTTCTCTCTCTGATTGTTTCACCGCTGTTATAAGTGATGAATAACATGAAATATCGTTTGGATAAGATACCGTTGGTTATATATATAATGACTAATTTACTCGATCTATAAAAGCTAAAATTATACATCGTCTGGCTGCGGCAACCTACACTCATATCACAAAAATGATAAAGCAGCCATAGTCTCTACACCGGAAAAAGGTCTAAAAGTGTACTTACCGGAACACTGTGTGTATCCGTCTCCTGTAAATCCCTCTTTGCATTTGCACGTGTAGTGAGCGGGCAAATTGCAGCACTCGGCATCGGGTGCGCATCTTGCTGCTAACTCTGGGATGAGGCACTCGTCGATATCTGGGAAGAAAGAGAAAAAAATATGAGTGAGTTTGTTTGGCGTATTTTCTATTCTACCAACACTTCATTTAAAAACTCATAATTATCGCCGTCAACATCATAATAAATCTAATCGTATTCAAAGTTGCCATGCAAATTGATACTACTAAGCGAGCAATAGCATCCTCTACAATTCAGAACTTTTTTGGCCCGAGTCGGAAGTAAATGCACACAAAACATCCTCTATACAAAAGCGCCAAGTGGAACAAGGTCTGTTTACAAAAAAGCGAAAGGAATATGCAAGTCACAACCCATGTTCCGCCTTCCCTATCAACACCCTCTTCAGCTTCGTATTATAATCTCAAGGAAGCTGTTAATAGGACTCTCCTCTTCCTTCCTACAATTCCATCGATGCTCTCTACCATTAGACAGCCACACTTACGGCACCATGACCATGAAAACGCAGAAGAAGCACGGGTATGATTGCACTATAAGACAAGGTTGCTAGCTGTTCCTCCGTCCCTTTCACCTCCGCTTTGTGTTTACGTCGGTTAGACTCCCGATCTTTCGCGAGATCTGCGGCGGTTCCCAAGCGATTCGCAGGACCGACCAAAAGAGGATATTTAATTATATATCCATCTGGGGGGTGGGGGGGGGCGAGGAAGAGATATATGGTCGTGTACTTCGGTGGATTTCAAGGCCGTTCTTGTGGGAGATTTTGGTTTTACGGTTATGGTCCAGATATTAGGATGAGATTTATTAGTTATTGTCATGCGATTCGGAATCAAAACTGATGCTAATCTTTAGAAGGCAAATCTTTGCTTGCCGAGTGACGAAAAGAAAAAGTAATGGAGGAGAAAGCAAGAGGAAGAAAGGCGTAATCTCACAAACAGTTACAGAGCGAAATGGTGACACCGGCATCCGAAATTGTAGTTCTCGGGAAGACATCTCCCCCAGAGAAAAAAAAAAAATAAAACTACAATTTCTTTTTACAATTTCCATTAGCAATTTAGACGCAACTGTTCTCCCCCTCAACAAGAAGAGGTCAGGCGTACGGACGACTCGAGAACCGCCAGCTAACCCAACAACGGTCTCGATGAATGCCGGCCGTGCCCCTCGAAATCCTGGATACGCTCTAGGAAACCCGTGCCCCGAGAATCCAGTCGGGCCGCGCGAAGGGAACCGTTGCTCAGTCAATGTCCTTCACGCAGAGTGGGAGCACGCCAGGAGGAGGAGCTCCCCAGGACCGGACGGAGGAGAGGAAGGGAAGGGGGGGTGCGGAGGAAGAGGAAGGGAGAGGGGGTGAAGGAGGAGGAAGAGTGGAGAGAGATAAGGGGGGGGAGGTGAAGGAGGAGGATAGACTGGTCTGAGCAGAGAGGAAGGGGAGGGGTAGAGGGGGAAAGGGCCCCCCCCTCTCCCACTCGCCTCCACGCTTGGCCAATGAAAGGTGCTGAAGATGAGCGCCATCCCTGAATTATAACCGTCGACATTGCTGGCGAATTCCGGTGATGGCTGACTGAGGAGCCTTTTTTTTTCCTCTCTTTTTTTTTAGGGGAAGGGGGGGGGGTCGGTGCTTGAGGATTCCGTAACGCTTTTTTTTCTTTTTTACTTTTGTTCGCTTTCCTCGTATGGACGAAGGAAGTAAGAAAAAGAGAGAGAGAGAAAAAAAAAAGAAAAAACCGGAGGATAGAGAAGTTCAACCAAAATGCGTCACAGACAAATGAAGCTGCGTGACGCCCTGACGCAGGAGAGGGGGCGCGTCAACCCCCTCGGAGTGTGACCCCGAAGCCTACGTATATCCTCCTCCTGTGCTCTCTGCCTCGACGCCCTCCGCACAGACCTCACCGCTACGCCGCCGCAGCCATTAACACGTGACGCTGCCGGCATGCATGTCAAAGGAGCATGGGAAGAAAAAAAAAACAGCTTCTAGACTTGAGGATTGACAAGAGTTCACGGAAAAAAAAGAGAGAGATCCCGTAAAAAAAAAAAAAAACGAGTTCAATAGAAGAGCTTGGTGGCCGTTTTTTTCTCTTTCTTTCCTTCTTTTTCCTTTCTTTTCTTTCTTTCTTTCTTTTTTATTTCGATGTGGGCGTTACTGACTGGGGGTCTAAATTCGTGATTCACTGTATTACATGGGAATATACATTTTCCGCCTTGTAACGAGCTTGTGAATCTGCTAATATGACAAACTATTTTATATTTGTAAATGTGCCACATATGCTAAGATGATACGCAAGTAATATGAGCAGAATGTTAAAATGACACACGTACATGCATACACACACACACACACACACACACACACACACACACACACACACACACACACACACACACACAATGACACTGCATAGATCCAGACAGGAAGAAAAAAAATAATCGTTATTTATCAAGAGAAAAAAATGACACTGACAGAAACGAGAAATGCGTAGGCTTATCTGCTATTATATGGAAAATTATACAGATAAGCACAGCCATATAAGGAGAGGCATATCTTCCCTGCATCTTGAGGAGGCGAATAGCGCATGAATATATTTCCACGAATGCATAGCCTATTCGGAATTATTATTACAGACATCGACTCCTTGCCGCCATATTGGTTGTGAGGTTGACCAATGGCGTCTACGCTGGTCAATGGCCTTTTTAAACCTATCTTCGAATTTGAATTTGAAGCTCAGGCCGTTCTATGCCTAAAGAAGAAGAGAGGAGGAGGAAGAAGAAGAAGAAGAAGAAGAAGAAGAAAGAAGAGAGAGAGACAGACAGACAGATAGAGAGAGGAGAGAAACAGAGACAGAGACAGGCGGGCAGACAGACAGAAACAAAGTGAAAAAGAGCGAAAAAAAAAGTTAAAGACAAATGATAGGCCTACAAATAAGGAGCAAAGACGACACCGTCCGGCTGTCAAAGCGTGCGAAGCTTTTGCCTCAAGCTCTTTACATATTCATCACCTACCCTGCCACACACGCCCTTCGCCCACCCTTATACAGGGCGAGGCAAGGACAGGGACCCAGCCATGGCGGTTCGGGAGCCTATCCTTCGAGAATGCGTAAGGGAGAGAGGAGGAGAGAGAAGGAGAGAGGGAGAGAGAAGGTGAGAGTTGAGAGGAGAGAGAGAGAGGAGGAGAGAGAGAGAGAGGAGAGAGGAGCGTGAGAGGAGGGGAGAGAGGAGGGAAGGTGAGGGAAGAGAGGAAGTGAGGGGAAGGGAAGGAGAGAGAGAGAGGAAAGGCGAGAGAGAGTAAATGGGATGAAGGGAAAGGGGGAAAGTTGACGAGGAGGAAGGGAAGGAGAGAGATAAATGGAGGAATAGAGACAAAGAAAGACAGGAAAATGCCACACATCAGGAAATAGCGAGCAGGAATGCAGAGGCGACCAAGAGAGAGGCCCGATATGACAGTCGGAATGCCCGAACGCCCAAGAATGGCAATTCCTGTCGACATGTCACCATTCCCGCCATAGCCAGAAACAGAAAACCGTTAAACAAATTCTCATCATATATGTTTTTATTTAGGATTTTTTCTCTGTCTCTCTAGATCCAAGTATAATGAAAATGAATAAAGAATAAAGAATATTACACAACCAAACCTCCATTTCCTCAAAAACGCGCGTTCTTGTACTCGACCATTTCCTGCAACCGGATTCAAAAGCATTCATTCCGACGCTACACGAACGCACGAGCTATGTTTACGTTCCATACCCTCTGCAGAATTTCCTCCTCTGGACACTCTCCACGCTGCTTACGGGACTTTACGTCGAAAGTAAAGTGGCTATCGAGCCTCCACGTTGCTCGGACCGAAGCCACGTTCAAGTGTGACGGTGCAGAGTCATAAATAAAAGTGAAATTCCGCCGATAAACATGGCGGAGAGACAAGACAAAAGGTGACGTGATTTTGATGCGAGTATTGCTTGGACGAGTGGGATTTTCGATATGTTTTTTCTTTCATGTTATTGGATCTAACTGATTGAAAATAAATATAAGAGAGAGAGAGAGAGAGAGAGAGAGAGAGAGAGAGAGAGAGAGAGAGAGAGAGAGAGAGAGAGAGAGAGAGAGAGAGAGAGAAATATGTATATGTATATATAATATATATAGATAGATAGGATAGATAGATAGATAGATAGATAGATAGATACACACACACACACGTATGAATATACGAGTTCTTCTGCCCCTTCCCTCTGAAGGACAAATTATTACCCTGAGAGTGATATACGTCGAGAGCATAAAAAATGCCTCTCATAACTTCACTTTCCGTGGAGCATGAATCGATTTGTGAATCTGCCGATACTGAGGAATGTGGGAAGAAATTCTTTTCCTTTTTCCTCTCCCTCTTTTCTCTTTTCCTCTCCAATCTTCTTTTCTTTCTTTCTCTCTTTCTCTATCCCTTTCCCTCTTTTTTCTTTCCTTCTCCCTCTTTCTTTCCCCTTTCTCTCCGTTTCCCACTTCATCTCTCCTTTTCCCTCTTTCTCTCCCCTTCGTCCCGTCTCCCCCGCCCCTTCACACTTGCACAGGCGCTGAGCACCGGCGCGCGGAAGGGCGTGGGCGGCGGGAAGATGACTGCAGTTTTACACGTAATTTGAGACGGAACACGAGGCACGCGATACGGCGGGGCGTGGGTGGTAGGAGGTTGAAAGAGGAAGGAAAGAGGGGGAGGGAGGAGATGGGAGGAGAAAGAAGGAAGGCGTATGGAGGAGGAGGAGGAGGAGGAAGGGATGGGATTAGCGCATTACGTTGCTCACTCGATGGAAAGTTGGTATTCGCACGTATATTTACATTTTTCTCATTATCATTCCTGTGCGCCACTTGTTTTTCCTCTCTCTCTCTCTCTCTCTCTCTCTCTCTCTCTCTCTCTCTCTCTCTCTCTCTCTCTCTCTCTCTCTCTCTCTCTCAAAAGCTATTGCCGTTGGTGACTTCAACGTCTAGCTATACTAGTAGTCATGAACAACTTCAGAATGAGTTCAGCAACCTTTGCAGCTATTACTATTCCTCCTCCATAGCTCTCTCAGTCCCTCCACCTCCCCC